GCCCCGTGCTGGGTCCTACACTATGGTTGTGTTCGAGGGTCCCAGGACGAGGGAAGAGAGGAGAATCTAACTCCGTGTTTCAGAAGGCTGATATATTACATTAAAATGCTACACTAAAAAGAATAGAAAATATCCCTCAGAAGGCTGGAAAGGAAGGCAAAGGAATGGAATCATAACAAAAGCTCGTGACTCTCAGCGAGTCTGAGCCAGCTGACTGTGATTGGCCATTAATTAGAAACACGAACATGGCCCAATCAGGAAAGGCTGGCAGACCAGCTTGGATGGTTTTGGGAGGGTGGGAAGGCTGGCAGACACCAGCTTGGATGGCTTTGGGAGGGTGAGAAGGCTGGCAGACACCAGCTTGGATGGTTTGGGAGGTGGGAAGGCTGGCAGACCAGCTTGGATGGTTTTGGGAGGTGGGAAGGCTGCAGAGGTCTCTGGCTGGACCCATGGGGCAAGGCCAGTGGTAGGAGGCTCATCAGGGCCCCGTGCTGGGTCCTACACTATGGGTGTGTTTGAGGGTCCCAGGACGAGGGAAGAGATGAGAATCTTGACTCCATGTTTCAGAAGGCTGATTTATTATATTATATTACATTAAAATGCTATACTGAAAAGAAGAGAGAGAAAATATCCCTCAGAAGGCTGGAAAGGAAGGCAAAGGAATGGAATCATAACAAAAGCTCGTGACTCTCAGCGAGTCTGAGCCAGCTGACTGTGATTGGCCATTAATTAGAAACACGAACATGGACCAATCAAAGATGCGCCTGTTGCATTCCACAGCAGCAGATAATTATTGTTTTTCTTTTCCTCTGAGGCTTCTCAGGAGAAAAATTCCTGGCAAAGGGATTTTTCAGAAAATACCATGGCGACACTACACCTGGGTCACAAGGCCATGCAGTGCTGCAGGCTTAGGGAAGAGCTGGAAGGGCCTGGGTGTGCTGGTTGACAGGGGCTCAAGATGAGCTCACGTGTGTCCAAGCAGGCCCATGGCACCTGGCACCATGGACACGTGGGCACTGTGATCCAGCTGCAGCACACATGGGCATGCAGAATAGAGATCCCCCACTCGGGAAATCCTGACTGCACTGAGCAGGAGCAGGGCATGGCCACACAAGTGTGGTTCCTCCCCTGAACATCCCTAGCAAATTGTGGAACCATCTGATATGCTTTTCTCCCTCCATTCCATCATAGGTGCTTTATCTCCTGGGCATTACCTGTGCCTCAGGGTATGAGCTGACCCCGAAGCTGTTCCCACTGACCACTGGAACAGGTACCACACCCAGCCCTGGGGCTGCTGGACCTCCTGGGACAGCCCTTGGAAGAGGTGGACCACAGTGTCCATTTCTCTGATTAGGTTTCTCTCTGGTTTCTCTACCTGCTGCTGGGCATCTGTGCTCCTTTGCGTATGTGCAGACCAAGGTTTTATTGTATAACCAGAAAAATCCACTTTGTAAAGGAGCAGAGAAGGGTTTTAGAATCACTGCCCTGAAGGCTTTACTGATAGAACAATCCTGTAGCAATGACTGAACTTTTATTTCAAAGCACAGTTGAACACAAGCTCCAGGCAGCAAGTCTGTGGTTGGGAGAGTTGTAATTTGCATTTTTTCATCTTGCAAAGGGGAGGAGTGACTACACTGCCATGAAAATTCCCATTTTAGTTCTGCTCCAATTATCACAAGGTTCCTTCATCTGCACGTGGTCCTGATCCACATGACATGAAGCACTACAAGAACTTTTTAATTAGCCCCATGGTGATAAAATCTAGTTTTGCTAATTATATTATTGTTATTCTTTTTTGAATGGCCAGAAGTGCAAGGTGGTTTGGGATTTTGCTTTCTTCTTGAATCCCATCATTTCCCTTAACAAAGGCATCAGGAGTCCTATAAGGGAATGTCGTTGGAGTCCTGTTGGAGGTAGGTTTGCATCCTTCTCCTCTGAGCAGGGCTGTGCTGTTTTATCTTGTAACCTGAGAATGACATCTCGTAGCTTGTGTGAAGTTGGATCACAGAAACAGGAGTTTGCTGAAGGTATTTGCTCTTTCTGCCAAAAATACTGAAAGGACGAGTAATTCCACATGCTGCCAGAGGCAATGATTATACTGTGAAAGAGAAAATGACCTGAAAATGCTTGTTTATCACTTCTAATACATAATCTTACTTAACAGAGTCAGCTTCAGAGACACTCCCCATGTGTTGGGAGAGGACTGAGGGAGGGCAGGCATGAATCATACCTGTCTCAGCATTTCTGTATTTCAGGTTATTGCTGGAGCTCAGTCTTACTTGTATTTTAGGGAGATTACTGAGGCAACAGAGAAAGGTTGGATTAGAGTTGAAAGCAAATTGTTTTTTCTCTCCTCCAAGTTTCTGTGAAAATACTATTTTTTTATGGGAAATGAGAACAAAGAGTACACAGTATTAACTGTGGATTGTTAGAAAATATGATTTCCTACCAAAAGTGGTTTTCCTTTTTGGATCTGTGAAAAAAACCCTGCAATTTTCAAGCAGAAAATAGGATTAAGTATATAGGGATTTAAAATGGAATTACTCACTGACACTAAGGAGGAAACTGTGATGGGAAAAAATGAATACTGCAGAGTATTCACCAAAGGCAATGGAAATTTGCAGAAACATCTCATTTCTACAATTCTCTGAAATTCCATTTGGGGGATAGTTTACAGAGGAAAAAAAAAAGTTGTGGTTTATTCTGCATGTGTTTTTTTCTTAGAAGAAATTATATTTTTGTTTCAGCAGCTAAGTAGAGGTAACTTCCTATCAGGGAAATGGCTCAGTCATCTTGGGCTGTGGGTGCAGGTGAGCAGCTGCCTTCTTCTCTTAGAACTCCCCCACAGTGTCTCCAAATTCACAAATTACAACATTATTTTTCTAAAACTTGAGACACTGATTTTCAACTCATGCCATTTATCTGGCTGAAAAAGAAGTTTGAAAAAGGACTGTGATGCAGAGATCTTCATAATAATCTAACATAAGGGAAGGCCAGAACTTGGGAAGAAATTGGGGTTGAGACTGAGCTGTCCATGGAACCAAGGAGGAACAGCCTGGCCACAGTGATGTTGACTTTAGGGTGAGCACATTCCCTCTGCAGACTCCCTAACTCTGATGGGAGCTGAGACAGCCACCTCCCCTGTCCTGACTTATTTTTTAGTGCACAGATCACCTGGGCAATGTGGACTTACAGCCAGCCCCAGCGGTGGGAGTGGAGGACTGGGGACAGCAGGTCCTGTGTGGGTGACTCTTTTGTCTGTATTTACACGGAGAGCCCCTGCAGCTCCATGGATAAGCTTCAGCTCAGCCTAACTTGCAGGTCCTTGCTTTAGGTGAGGTGCATTCCAGGCAGAGGTGCTGCTTCCCAGGCTGAGTGCTGTGGTGGATGTAGAGGGAGCAGATGCCACACAGAGGAGCCTTGACAGGACAGAAGTGGGCTGGGGCAAACCTCAGAAAGTTCAACAAGGCCAAGCACAGGGTCCTGCTCATGGGTGAGGCCAATCCCAGGGCTGGGCAGTGCATGGATTGAGAGCAGCCCTGCAGAGGAGGACCTGAGGGTGTTTGGTGGATGAAAAGCTCAATATGTCCTCTCAATGTCCACTCACAGCTCAGAAACCAAGCATACCCTGGGCTGAATCAAAAGCAGCATGGCCAGCAAGCCCAGGGAGATAATTCTGCCCCAAAACTCCCCTCTCCTGAGACCCCACTTGCAGAATAGTGCCCAGCTCTGGGGCCCCAAGTGAAGGAGCACATGGACCTGCACAAATGGACCATGCACCTCCTGATCCAAGGAGGGCCACAGATACAGTCAGGAGGCTGGAGCTCCTCCCCTGTGAGAACAGTCTGAGAGAGCTGGGGTTATTTAATGTATGGAGAGAAGAGAAAGCGCTGGGGAAACCATTCAGCAGCCTTCCAATATCAGGAAGTGGCCTACAAGAGAAATAGAGAGGGACTTTACACAAACTCGTGTGGTGATAGGAGCTGTTGAGGACAGCAAAATGGGGAAAGCAGTCAGTACACCGGATGGCAGGGCTGGTATTTGCAGGGACAGTTTGGAGAAAAAGGTTGGCATTAACATTACAGTCTGACATAAGTAAATATGTCATTTTGTATCTGGGAAAAGACAAGCCTGTGCAATCAGTGGAGGCTAGGGGCCTGTCCAGGAAGCAGCTTTGTAGGTAACTGTCATAGTTGAGATGGAGACAATGCAAAGCAACACTCCATTTTCAGAAGGCTTCAAACCCAGTTTTATTATATCCTGCCTCCTTTTTGTACATTCTTACAAAGCTCATAAGTTTACTCATTGATCACAAGAGATAAAGTGCTCATTGGAATAGGCAGTTGAAGTTTCTCTTATTTATCCCGCTTTCTTTCTTGGTTTCTATGTCAGCAACCTTGGTAGGAAATTCTTTCAGGGGTAAACATGGATCCTCTTCTCAAACTTCTCTCTGGCTCACAGAAGTCACTGCAAAACCTCTTCCACAGATAAGGACTCTGGTAGACAAACAGGAGATGGGAATGTGTTCCTCTGTCGTAGAATGTGACAGCTTCAGCTCTGCCAGCAAAGGTCTGGCCAGCTAGTGCAGGGAAATGATCCCACCCCTCCCCAGTGCAGGACTGGGTAAAGACCAGAGCACTCCAGGACAAGAAGGACAGTCATACATACACTGGACTGACTTCCTTGGAGGCCTCCAAGGTAATCACTGGGCTGGATTACATGACATTCAAGGAGAGGCTGAGAGAACTGGGTTTGTTCACCCATACAGAAGAGAAGGTTAAGGGAAAACCTGATTTCTGTGTATAACTAGCGGATAAGACGAGGATACAGAGGAGATAGAGCCTTCCTGGAGGTGTACAACAATAAGATGAAAGGCAACAGACAATAATTGGAACATCCTAAGTTCTCACTGAATGTAAGAATTTGTTTTGGTCTTTTTTGTTTTGTTTTGCTTTGTTTTGTTTCTTCCGTATAAGACTGGTTACATACTTCAACAGTCCACAGAGTTTGTGAGATTTGATGACTTCCAGAAATCCCTTCTGGATTAATCGTAAATTATTGTATGATTTTGTGTTTTAATAATCTATAGTCCAACACACGTTTATAGTCATCTTTATTTCTCTTGTTTGTGCAGGGATAAAGAATGGAATCAAAGAACATGACCACCACTGTGACAGAATTTGTCCTGTTGGGCCTGACACAGAGCCACAAGCTGCAGTATTGCCTCTATGTGATCTTCTTCCTCATCTATGTAATAACCTGGCTGCTGAACTTCACCATCATTGCCACTGTGGCTGTGGATCACCAGCTCCACACCCCCATGTACTTTCTCCTGGCCAACCTCGCTTTCCTTGACATCAGTGATTCCTCAGTCAACACTCCCAAACTGCTGTCAGGCCTCCTCACCCAGCACACAGTCATCTCCTTCAACCAGTGCTTCCTGCAGATGTTCTTCTTCCATTTCATTGCAGGTGCAATGTCATTTTTGCTCCTGGCAATGACGGTGGATCGGTACGTGGCCATCTGTGAGCCCCTGCGCTACCTGTCCATCATGAACTGGAGCACCTGCACAGGGCTGGTGGCAGCTGCATGGCTGGGTGGATTTCTTCATTCTATTACACAAACTGGTTTTCTTCTCCAGCTGCCATTCTGTGGCCCCAATGTACTGGACAATTTCTACTGTGACGTCCCTCAAGTCATCAAACTGGCCTGCAGTGACACTCGCAAGGCTGAGCTACAGATGGTGTTTAATAGTGGAGTGATCCTCATCAGCCTTTTTGTAATCTTGATTATTTCTTACATCGTCATCTTGCTGAAGATAAGGACGTGCATCACAGAAGGGAAGCGAAAAGCTCTGTCTACCTGTGGAACACAGATAACTGTTGTGAGTTTAATATTCATCCCCTGCATCTTCACCTATGCCCAGCCTTACAAGAAATACCCAAGGGACAAGGTGGTCTCTGTTGTTTACACTGTGGTCACTCCAATGCTAAACCCAATGATCTACACACTCAGAAACACTGAGATGAAAAAGGCCATCAGGAGAACACTGGGGAAAATATTTCTGTCAGCAGGAAAACAGAAACCAGAGCAGACAGTAGATCCAAAGACATCAAATCTGGTGCTCCCATGACAAAACTGTGTTCATGACTGGTATTCCTGTACAGAAGAATGCAGGGTGCCCCCGACTCTGGGAATGATTGGTATCTGACTCTATTGATTCAGAATGCTGAACAATTGCTTTATTAAACTCTACTATATTACATTAATACTATACTAAACTACATGCTAAAGAAAACTTGTGACTGTCTCCAGATAGTTAGGACACAGCTTTTTCTAACTGGCTAAGGAAACAAAACAATCCTCAGCAGAATCTAATTACTAAATCTTTTCAGGTAAACAATTTTCTTAACTCATTCCACATGTGTAAAAACAACAGGAGTAGTAAGTAGACATAAGAATTGTTTTCTCTTTCTTCTCTCTGTGCTTCTCCAGGAAAAAAAACGGGGTGAGAGAATTATCCATCTCTCTGTTCAGAGAATGTGAATGCCACAATTCCTACTCCTTCAGTAAGTCAGCAACTTTCTAGATGTGAGATGGGCACAACATTCACCTCCCATCCCTTTAGGAAGGCCAGTCACATGGAGTGTGCAGCATGGTGCCATGTCTAGGGCCCAATAAAAGTTGTCTGCAATAGATCACTGCAAAGACATCTCCATGACACACCAAACCCTAAACCAGGACAAACAGCCTGGCACTGACCGTGCAAGGTCAGCCTTGTTCTCTGCTGTGGAAACCACTCCAGCATGTCTCACTTCTCTTCAGCACTCTGGTGTAGATCTCTAAATTAGCTTTGATGCCTTACTGAACCTGCAAATAAAACCACACACTTTGGAGATAATGTTTGTATAGGGGGGAATATAAAGAGTGGTCTTTATAGAAGGCCTCCAGTGACAGACATGGAAAATGTGTGGAAAATGTCCACAAAATGCCCACCTCCCCCCCACCGAGTTCTATAAATTAAGCAAATTAGCATATTTGGCAAAAATCACCAATTAGGAGTACAAAAGGTGATGCAATTTCTCCCAGTTCAACCTTCTCTGAATCTTCCCCCTCAGACAGAAACCAAACTTTGTTTATAAAAATAAGTCCAGAAGAGCTGATTCCTATGGAGAACCAAGATAGGATTGGGGCCTTGGAATGTGTTCTGTCTTTCTGCCTATCAGGGCAGGTAAAAGTACTGGGAAAACGAGCTAGAATACAATAATAGGCTGCAGAGATACAAATGTACGTACAAAGAATAGAGAGAATAAATAAAAGAAAAAAAGGCAAAAAATCAAATTGCTATCAGCATGATGGCATCTGCACATTCCTGCATTAGTAATTTCACCAGCAATGTTGAGATAGAGAAAAAAGCATTCTGAAAATGCTTTAGTGGGAGAAAATTCTCAGACCTGTAAGGATTATTTAGGTTTAGAGCTGTTTGAGTTTAACTCCCTTAGCGTGACAAGTGAGAAATGAAATCAAATCTGTCTGTCTTGACAGCAGACACAAAAATCTCCCACAAAACATATAAACAATGGATGGGGAGAGAAATTCATAAGAGGAAGTAGAACTCAGAATAATAAAAGGAAAAAAAGAGAAAATAAAGTAATAAAAACAAGAGAAAAAACCTCCTTATGTCCCTTTTTGATGCTTTGTCAAACATTAAAATTTCATGTCACGTCTTGAAAACAAAACATTTCTCAATATTCTTTATTTCCTCCTTCCTTCCTTCCATGGAGAGCTGCAGGGCTCGTTGTGCTGGCTGTGTGCATAAATTGATGATATTTAATTTCTCTAACTGCAAATCCTGACCCTTCTGCCTGCCCAAATGTCAGCAGAGCTGCACCCAGCCTGAGCTGCTGCACTCACTGCCTGCTGGAAGAGGTGACTGTTTGCTCCACAGACTGGGGAAGGGTTTGTCTCTGCAGCCTTTAGATAAAGTTTTCTTTGTCTCTTCAGTGTGTTGGTTGTTTCTGGCTCCAGGGGTGATAATTACAGAATTGTGGCATCAGCTGTGGCTCTGGAGTGCTAACTCAGGTGCCTTAGTTAAAGCTCTAAGATGCATTAATTTATTTGTAATTATTTATTGTATTTATTATTTCTTGTAATTTATATAATTCTGAACCATGTGGCCTCTACAAGCGATTGTCTAGAATTCTCCAGATCACTTATTAATTCAAAAATTCAATAAATCAAACAATTTTCTCTCTTTTCTCTCTTTCTCTCTTTCCCTTTCATTCTATACTACATAGAGAAATCAAATCTGTCTGTCTTGACAGCAGACACAAAAATCTCCCACAAAACATATAAACAATGGATGGGGAGAGAAATTCATAAGAGGAAGTAGAACTCAGAATAATAAAAGGAAAAAAAGAGAAAATAAAGTAATAAAAACAAGAGAAAAAACCTCCTTATGTCCCTTTTTGATGCTTTGTCAAACATTAAAATTTCATGTCACGTCTTGAAAACAAAACATTTCTCAATATTCTTTATTTCCTCCTTCCTTCCTTCCATGGAGAGCTGCAGGGCTCGTTGTGCTGGCTGTGTGCATAAATTGATGATATTTAATTTCTCTAACTGCAAATCCTGACCCTTCTGCCTGCCCAAATGTCAGCAGAGCTGCACCCAGCCTGAGCTGCTGCACTCACTGCCTGCTGGAAGAGGTGACTGTTTGCTCCACAGACTGGGGAAGGGTTTGTCTCTGCAGCCTTTAGATAAAGTTTTCTTTATCTCTTCAGTGTGTTGGTTGTTTCTGGCTCCAGGGGTGATAATTACAGAATTGTGGCATCAGCTGTGGCTCTGGAGTGCTAACTTAGTTAAAGCTAAGAGTTAGAGCTTAGTTAAAGCTCTAAGATGCATTAATTTATTTGTAATTATTTATTGTATTTATTATTTTTTGTAATTTATATAATTCTGAACCATGTGGTCTCTAGAAGCGATTGTCTAGAATTCTCCAGATCACTTATTAATTCAAAAATTCAATATATCAAACAATTTTCTCTCCCTTTCCTTCTCTCTCTCTTTCCCTTTCATTCTATACTACATAGATACATGTATATTGATAACCCCCTTGTAATGCTAATAAAAAACTCAACACTGACCTTTAATGTCATAAGCTGAATTAAAGAAGCAGCACATTCCAACAGTACTAAAACTTCATTATGTGGTTCTAAAGTGAAGAATCAAGCACTGCACCAGCAACACATAACTAATGACTAATTCAGCTGTTTTCTTGGAGCTTCCTTAAGGAGATCAAGTGCACCCATGGCAGGAGGTGATTTGACAGAACCACAAACTGTGGCAGCATGTCAATGTCTCAGCAGCCCACATCAAGACAGACATTTAAATCAGTACCAATTTTTGGCAGAAAAAGTGAATTAATTAGTTATTAAATACCACTTCACACAGACTGAAAATAATTGATATAAATAAATTAAAATGTTGACATATACGATTTTTAAAAATGCATTCTTCCATAAAAATGCTAGAATCAATAGTTCACATATTGGGGTTGGGGAGCTGAATCCAGGCACAAACTTCTGCCCTGGTCTGTTTGTGAAGCTGTGATGCACTGAATGACATCATTTAACCAGAATTTCTCTTTTTTATAGAGGAGACAGGATGGTCTGAGTGTGAGCTCAGCTCTAGCAAAACCCGTGGCTGTGTTTCTTAGGGACCAAAGATCAGTGCCCCTTGCTAGAGGTGAAATTCTGATTTACAACAGCTAAAAACCTGCCTTGTTTCCCACCACCTCAGTTTCTGTTTGGGGTATCCTTTGTGCACATGTGGAAACAGGAGACAGAAGAGATGAATTCAGGAAAAACAGAAAATTGCTGATAGTGTTTGGTGGGAGGGCACTGCAGCAAGAATAAAAAATGTTTGTTTTAAATGGATGAATGATTCTGGATGTCTCTTTCTCCTTGGACCAGAGTCGGAAAAATCTTTAAAAGAGGCAAATTAAAACCTTTAACCATTTGGAATTCAATGTCCCTTAAAGTGATTAACACTACTGTTATTATACTTAGAGTCATTAAACTTTTATTTTAAGAAATGCTTTTTTCAGTATTATTTTTCTGAATAATAAAACAAGAAAAAAATTCCCTGTTTTTACAGAGGTAAAAGTAGATGAGCTCCCAGAAGCAAAGTCTGTAGAAATGCAAATGAAGTTTCATTAACTCTTTCTCCAGTGCTCCAATTACGAAGAAAAAAGGGTTTCCACAACACAGAGACAAGTTAAGTTCCCCAGAGGAGTCTAAGCAAACAACATTGCCAAATGCAATTAACTGCTTTGTCATTAAGTCGTTGTTGTGAAGTTTCTGAAGTCGGGCAATGACTTCATCCTGAGATGACTTACATTGCCTTTCTCTTTTACAAGAAAACTAAACCAAAAAAAAGAACATTACACTCAATTTTACTGCTCTTTTCTGCCTTTATGGCCAGGTAGGTAAGTCAGATGAAACAGAGAGACCTCGAAGGCCCATACTGGTAATGAAGATTTCTTTTGCTTGACCTCAGTATGGAAAGTACAGTTTGAGTGCTGCAGGCTCTGGCCAGGCTATTCACCGAGCCAGAGCACCTCTTCTATCCAGAATAAACTGCAAAACCCCCCCAAATAAATACTCCCAGGCTGTGGCAGCCCTTTTCTCTGTGTGCTAATCCTCTGTCTCAGCTAATCTTCTGGAAACTCTTCTTTCCAAGCCTGGATGAACTTCTCCAACTGGGATTTGCAGAATGCTCTTTCCCATGGCTCAGACTCCGTGGTGCTTGGAGGGTGTGGGCACTGCACTGCATTAAATGCTGAGTTCTTCCTGGGAATAAGGAATGACCATCAGTTCATCTTCCTTTCCTTCATTTTCCTCACACCTCAAATGAAAAACACAAGGCTGTGAAAGAAGTGAACTGATCTCCTTATCCCTTTCATTCAGTGGCCTCTTTTCTGCTGGAAGGAATGGAAAATATATAATAAGGGGAAAAAAAGGCAAAGCAAAATATGTAGTCTCTACCAATTAGTGTATGCTTGGCCTGAAAAGTTCACTATAAAAGTATTTATTCAGTAAGAGGGTGAGGAGAACTCCTGCAATGGAAGTGAGGAGTTTCAGCCTGAATACCTGAATTAGACATGGGAAATACGTTGCTTTAGAATAAATATATATATTGTACTCCTAATGAAGAGATGGAGATAAAAATTCTAAATAATTTGCTTCTGAAGCAAAGAATAAAGACAAAATATTTACAAGTGGGAAACAGATCTTTGTGCCTGTAGTTTCCCCATAGCTAGTAAACAATCAGAACTCACCAAGAATGGAAATAAGATTTTTAATCCACACATTCATGGACAAGAAAATCTTTATTTCTTCATCAACACAGCCATCCCTCTGATTAATACTTCTTTCACTTCTTTATTCCTCAGGCTGTAAATCAGGGGGTTTAAAGTGGGAATTACAGTTGTGTATATGAGAGCAAAGATTTTCTTAGCCTCTTGTGAATTACTGGATTTTGGCTGCAAGTAAATCAAAGTCCCACTCGCGCAGTACAAGGTTACCACGGTAAGGTGTGAGGAACAGGTGGAGAAGGCCTTGCGTCTGCTCTCTGCAGAGGAAACCCTCAGGATGCTGGAGATGATGCAGCCGTAGGACAGCAGGATGAGGCAGAAGGGCGTGAAGATGACGAGCACCGTGGCTGAGAGCAGCTGCCGCTCGTAGCGCGACGTGTCCGCGCAGGACAGCAGCACCAGCGGGGGGATGTCACAGAAGAAGTAGTTGATCCTCCTGGGCCCACACAGGGGCAGGGCGAACACCCAGGCTGTCTGCACCACCGACACGACCTTGCCACTGCAGCAGCAGAGCAGCAGCAGGGAGAGGCAGGCCCTGGGGCTCATGATGGCAGGGTACCTCAGCGGGCGGCACACGGCCACGTAGCGGTCGTAGGCCATGGCTGCCAGCAGGTACCACTCAGTGGCCGCCAGGAACACCACACAGTAGAGCTGGGCGACACAGCCCAGGTAGGAGATGCTCCTGTCCTCCGACAGGATGTTTGCCAGCATCTTGGGGACAACCACTGACGCTGTGGAAATATCCAGGAAGGACAGGACGCGGAGGAAGAAGTACATGGGCGTGTGGAGGCTGGGGTGAGCTGTGACCACGCAGATGAGGAGGTTTCCGATGAGAGTTAGGCTGTAAATGAAGCAGATTGTGAAGAACAGCAAGTGCTGGAGTTCTGGGCGGCTGGACAATCCAGAGAGGATGAATTCAGTCAGCTGGGTGTGGTTTCCTGCATCTTGTTCCTCTGCTGGCTCCATCTGGGAGGAATCAGACAGACTGTCAGAGCTGTACTCACTGCACCAGGATCACAGTGCTTCAAACCAGGAGCCTCTTGGGGATGCCTGGAGAGCTCCTGGATCAAAGGGTGGAAGTCTAGAGCAGGCTGGGCTGAGCACATTGAGAAGGCAGTGTCTGGAAGTGCGTGGTGCCAGTGCCCTCCAAGTGTCATTGTCTGGTGGTGTCACCAAGCCTTTGACCAAGAGGAGCTGGCATTGAAGGGGTGGCTCCATCACGGCTGCAGGGTTAGCTGCTGAGGATCTGCTCTCCACCCACATGTCAGCTCTGTGCTCCCAGCTGCTCCCACAGGTGCTTCCTGCAGTCAGGGAAACACCCAGGTGACAACTGAGATACCCACAGACTACAGAAAGAAAGAAAGAAAAACCCTTCTGCTACCTTGGGGAGCAGTGGGCAATGCTCCTTGCACTCTGTTTTTCCTCCTGAGTAGGCTGACAGGTCAGGCAGCCTTCCTCCAGGACATCTGAAGTTCAGAGCAACTCAGCTTCAGATGGCAGCCAGGGAAGTTCAGGCTGGGGGAGGCTTTGGCTCACATTCACATCAATCCCCAGCTGCCAGGGGGACAGAAATCCTCCCACGAGCCCAGCTTTGGGGAAAGCACTCCCAATTGGAGCAAGGAGAAGCTGGGAAGGGAAGACCTAAGCCAACTCCTGTCCACCAAAACACCCACAGAGCAAAGAAATCAGCACCAAAGCAAACCAAACAAAAATCCTGTCTGTAGGCAGGCAAAGGAAGGAGGAATAACTCGAGGCAGAGCTACCCATAAGGAATGGTGAGGAAGGGCAGAGGGTGAAGCTCAGGACTATCACAGTCATATTTTCTGGAAAAATCCCTTTGGCCAGGATTTTTCTCCTGGAAGCTGAGAAGTCTGAGAGAAAAAGGAAAACAATAATTCTCTGATTTGTTTCTCCTGTGTTTTGCTCCTTTGGAATGTGTTTGGAGATTGTTTCATGGGTTTCATGTGAATTGTTTTCACTCTTTGGCCAATCAGGACCAAGCTGTGTCGGGGCTCTGGAGAAAGTCACAAGTTTTCATTATTATCTTTTTAGCATTCAGTAAGTATCCTTTCTGTATTCTTTAGTATAGTATAGCTTAGTGTTCTTTAATTTAATATAGGATCGTAAAATCATAAATTCGCCTTCTGAGAACATGGAGTCACATTCATCATTCCTGCCTTTGTCTGGGAACCCCACAAATACAATACAGGACCATCTGTTCATGACTCACGTGGCCTCGTTCCCCTGAGGAGGGTTCTGTGTGAGGGATGTTCACAAAGTGCTGGACCAGCTCTTTTTTCTCACTGTCCAGGATGGGAAACTGAGGCACTCAAAGAGAAGAGATCAGCCTGTCACAGGGGAGAAAGGATGGTTAATTCTGTATCCTTCAGACTAAGCATCTCTTACCAAAGGGACCACCAGCCACTGCCCTACAGCAGCAAATCTCAAGGCACAAAATGCATTTTGGCACCAGAAATGTGTCCAAGAACAGAGGGGGAAGCACCTTTGGCTCTGTACACACAGACACCAACCAGCAGAGCTGGCACACAGAGAAGGACACAGCTCCAAGCCAGAGCAGTCCCCAGCTCTGCCACCCCCAGCCACCCCTTGGGCTGCTCTATAGATGATATTTTTGCCCCTGACGAGGGAGAGGAATGATGCACCTGACTCCATCTTATCAGAAGACTAATTAATTACTTTATTATACTACATTATTCTATACTATATTACATTTCATCTAAACTGAATTTGCTAAGCACCCAACTTTGTTCACCACTGCCCAGAATCTCGTGTCTCTCACACACACCTGGCCAAGGAAACAAAACACTTTGGGTGAACAATCTCCATATTGCAGTCTACTTTGGCACAAACACAGGCACGGCAAATGAGATAAGAATTGTTTTTCCTTTCTCTGAGGTTCAGGGAATGTGAAACCCAGAAATATTCTTAGGAAGAACTGTGCCCTGCTTCTCTCTGTGAGGAGAAACGCGGTGACACCGCTGTGTCTGTGACTCACACAGGACATCTTCTGCCCCTGGGTTTTCTGACATGAACACAAAGCTGTGGATCCTGGCACCACAGATGACTCTAACACACAAGCACAATAAGGAAAATCCCACTATTCTCAGACATTTGGTGCTCTGATATATTTTGAAGGGATCTTTCTGGGTTTGGCTCTTTCCATTAACACAGGGATGAAAGAACACTTTTGGAGTGGTATCTCAATAGAGCCTGTGCATGACAGATAGAGAATGACATGAAAAATTCCTTGCAGTCTCTGACAGCACACATTCACACTGGTTTTAACTTCTTAGATCCATGTAGCTGAAGAGGAAACTACCTAATTTTGCCCTCCAAGCCCAAGTGAAAGGTTTAGACTATTGCTGTGATCATTAGCTCTTTATTAAAGTCAACAGCACTCACAGCAGCCAATGTTTTACTGACAGTTCACCTTTTATTCTCTAATTCAGAACACCTCTCAGAAACAACCCTCAGTTTATGTAATTTGTGTAAAAAAAGAGTAAAATTCTTTTTTGTAATAAGTTTTGTCCTTAGCTCTTTCTTGGATTTTCTTTATACATTCACAATAAAGATTTTGAAGCAAAGTGTCCTACCTGCAGCAATTCTGCCATCCAGTGCCTCCAAAATGGGTCATTCAAATTTTCATAGGAGTATTTCCCTTGTTTTCTTGCATTAGGGATGGTGTCGTGCTGATGAGTCCTACTGTCAGCTTACACTGCAGATTAAAAGATATTTTAAATTATTTAAATTATTTTAAAATTATTTAAAATTATTTTAAATGCAGATGCTCTTCTGCTGCAGATGGAACAATCTGTTGACATTAGCACATGGCATATACCATAGAAAGTCATCCAAGGACTTGTCTCACAGAGAGGAAGAAAAGGAATTTGTTAGATTTGTTTCAACTCAGTTGAAAGCTGAGAGGCCTCAATGCATCTCTATTTTTCGCCCATGAAGGGAACAGCTGAGCTGTCTCTGCTGCTTAAATAGAGTCTCTTGAAATCCCTAAATCCCCTAGAGGTGGGGTTGATTTAATCTGATTTTAGAGCTGTTAGGGATGGCTGTTCAGAGCTGTGCTCCCTCTGTGGGCAGGCAAACATCCTTACACCAGCACTGAAATGCTGCTCTGGATGGAGCCCTCCCTCACTGTCTGCAAAGTGGGACCAGAGGGACTCCTCCACACACAGGCATCTCATCTCTTCCATGCCCAAGGCTGTGAACTCTGCATCCTCACCAGCTGGGGACTCATTGTTAACCCGAAAGGTCTGAGCAGCAGCTGGAAGTATCAAGGGATGTGTGACTCCAAGGGCAGAATTAGCCTGATGCTGCCTTTGTTAATTGGACTGGGGCCTTTAGGGGCAGTGCTGCCTCTGCTGGGAGAGTTTTCATTCAACTCCAGCCACTCACATTTCATTCTTCGATTTTTAGTGACTGCTTGTCAACTGTGAATCCTTCCCTTCCCTTCCCTTCCCTTCCCTTCCCTTCCCTTCCCTTCCCTTCCCTTCCCTTCCCTTCCCTTCCCTTCCCTTCCCTTCCCTTCCCTTCCCTTCCCTTCCCTTCCCTTCCCTTCCCTTCCCTTCCCTTCCCTTCCCTTCCCTTCCCTTCCCTTCCCTTCCCTTCCCTTCCCTTCCCTTCCCTTCCCTTCCCTTCCCTTCCCTTCCCTTCCCCCATTGCATAGGAAAAAAGATCCAATCAAATAAAAATCAGATTTGTCTGGAACTGCAGGAATTAAATCTGTACCTGGTACCAACCTGCAGAGAGCTGTGAGCAGCATCACCACCTGCTGTGGTCAGAGATGCATGGTGTGGGAAAAGGCTCATAAGAGAACCAGAGGATGAGGAGCAAATTTCCACCAAAGGCAAAGGGGTCAATGATAAAAAGGAGATTGAAGTGAGAGGGGAAATGAAGTTTCTTCATTCAATGACTGAATATTTTAATTTCACAGAACTTGCTTCTTATCCACACAAGAGAGGGTAGCAAACACAGGTTTCATTTCTGTTAGCCATCTGATGGCAGGCAAATGCTGGTGATCTCCTGAGCCAATCCCCCTGTGCTGACCTGTGTGGTCAGCAGAGAGGAAAAAAACACTCTAAGGGTGGAATTCATGTGAACTTTCCAGATCTCACATTATTTCTGAAATTACACCTTTCACCAGGTTTCAGGAGGATCCCCAGGACAGGAACTACAGCCCATGGCCTATTTAGAACACAGGGCAAGGGGCAATGCCAGCACTGGTGGGAGATGCTGCTGCTCCTTCTGCTCACAAATGCTTTTGTCCTTCTGCCCTGGGCTGGGGCTGGTGAGTACACAGAGATGGGACTTGGACATGCAAGGACACAGATGGACACTGAGTAGTCCATCTCCGGCAAGGCTCCTGCCTCACCTTCTCTCCTATCTCTATTCTCCTACTTTCCTCTGTCCTCTCATCTCCCAGCTCAGCCTTTCTCTCCATTGTTCCCCAGCAATGCCTTGGACAGCCCCAGGAAGGAGAGTTGTTGGGATCACTGGCACATGGCATTAGAGGATGACCCTTTCCTTTCATGCAGCCCCAAACTTGACAGGAAACAGCAGCACATTGACATTTATATTTAACATTCATATTAACATTTCCCATCTCTCTTCCAGGAAGGATCATTGGTGGAAGGGAAGTTAAGCCCCACTCCAGGCCCTACATGGCTCATTTAGAAATTAAAAATAACTCCCAAACTGGTTACTGTGGAGGGTTCCTGATTCGCCCAGACGCAGTGCTCTCAGCAGCTCACTGTGTGGATATAGAAGGGTAAGACCCTGTCTTTCTTGTAAAGGTAATTTCTTCCAGTCTTTCATAGTCCCAGAGGCCCTCAGCCCTGGTCTGGGCTGAAACATTGGCCAATATCTCTTCAGGCAGAGCAGGGATCTCTGGAGCTGAGCTCTCCTCTCTGAGTGCAGGAATTGTTTGCCAGGGGCTGAGTGACCTTGGGGACAGAAATGCTCACAGGGTCATGGTTCATCCCATGGCTTAGAGCTGCTGCTGGAGAAGGGGTCCAGGGTCCCCCTGCCCTGCTTCCCTTTGTCCTCAGCAGGGGCAGCTCGCACCTGTGTCAGTGTGGGGTGAGGGATCCACAGCTGGGCTGGGCAAGGAACCCAGGTGAGAGAGGACAACTTCTGGGAGCTGCTCTGGGGAGGTTTCTCCCACCACCTGCCTCCTCCACTGCCCTAGCGGGTTGTGTCCCTGTCAATGCAGCTGGGTGTTTGGGTGTTGGTGTTTCCTGGCAGGACAGTGAGGGTCACTGTGATTCTGGGAGCCCACGACGTGACCAGCCGCGAGCAAAGCCAGCAGAAGATCCGTGTTGGACAATGGGTCATCCATCCTGAATATTCCCCAGATGACTTAAAAAATGACATTGTGCTGCTGAAGGTATGGTCCAACTCATCCTTCCTTCCTCAGGGATCTCCCCGTGGTCACCTCCCCAAACTCTGAACTTGCTGCTAATCCTTCGCTGGCTCTAACCCCGTGTTCTCTCTGCCTGACAGCTGAAGACATTGGCCAAGATCAACGACAATGTGCAATGTATCTCCATTGCCAGGAGAAATGAACATCTGAGAGAAGGAGCTTTATGTAGGGTGTCTGGCTGGGGCTTGACATCTGACAAAGGAAACGGGAGTAATGTGTTGAGGGAGGTGAAACTGCAGGTGCAAAAGGAGAAAATATGTCAGCAGAGTTCCAGTGACTACCAGCGTCAGTCCATGATCTGTGTTGGTGATGAATGCCGTAAAAAAGCATCTTACCAGGTATGTGTTTTTCTGGGCTGCAAGCTACTGTACAGAACATTTATCCAGGCTTTCAGAGACAGAAGCATCTCCACCTGCAAAGGGAGATTAGGTGGGTTTTCAGTACCAAACTGAAACCCTCTTAGGATGCTTAGACAGACTAAAGACCAGCCAGCCTGTTTACAGCTTGTCTCCATCAGCCTCTTGCAGTCCAGCCAGCAGGCACAGCCTGTACAGAACATTTATCCAGGCTTTCAGAAACAGAGGCATCTTCACATGCAAGGGGAGACCAGGTGGGTTTCTAGTACCAATCTGAAAGCCTCTTAGGATGCTTAGACTAAAGACCAGCCAGCCTGTTTACGCCCTGTCTCCCTTTCAATCTCATTGAACCCCAAATGAAGCATTGTCTTTACATCTGTAAAATGCCTGTGGGTAGAACTGGAAACTTTCTCCCACTGGATCAGCTGAGCAGACCTGCCTGGGCCAGGAGGTGCCCTTGTGGTGTGGTGGTGGGATAGAAAATGTCAAATATGGCTGAGGCAAAAGCAGTCTTGCAGAGACCAGCCTCATCACTTGTGTGAGGAACGGTTGCCCTTCTCTCAGATTTTTTGTTTTTCTGATCATTTATCTAAAAAGGCACAGAATGTACCCTCAGCAATTGTGCTGATCATGCAGAGCTGGAGGCTGTTCTGTCTTTCAGTGGGACCTTGACAGGCTGGAGATTTGGGCAGAGAGAAACCTAAAGAGGTTCAGCAAGGACAAGTGTAGGGTCCTGCATTTAGGGAGGAATAACCCCACTGGGTCTGACCGGCCAGAGAGCAGCTCCGCAGGGAAGGACCTGGGGGTTTTGGTGGGTGACAAGGTGCCCATGAGCTGGCAGTGTGCCCTTGGCACCAGGAGGGACAAAAGGATCTGAGGTGCATTATGAAGAGTGTGGCCAGAGGGTCTAGGAGGGGACTGTGCCCCTCTGCTCGGCCCTGGTGAGGTACACTTGGGGTGCTGTGTCCAGGCCAGGTCTCTCAGAACAGGGAAGAAAAAGAGCTGCTGGAGAGGGTCCAGCTGGGGCCACAAAATGATCAAGGGACTGGAGCATCTCTCATGAGGAAAGACTGTGGGAGCTGGGCCTGTTCAATCTAGGAAGGGAAGAATGAGAGGGAATCTCATAAATGCATATAAATAGCTCAGAGTTGGGTGTCAAGAGGATGGGGACATGGCCTGAAAGGATCAAGGGGTGCCCACAGTCTGGCACATGCCCACTCTACACTTTCCATCCAGTCCTGCAGCAGATTGTCTTTGATCTGCCACCCCATAAAAGCCCTTTCCACCCAAATTCCAGCCCTCTCTAGGTGCAGCACTTTCTTCCCTTTCATGTAGCCAGTGTGTGCCATGATGCCTTAGGATTTTAGTTTTGTATTTTTCAAATCCTGTACTGCATACTGTAGAATTCTAAACTCCATATAGGGTATTCACTGTCTTCACATTTTGGGCAGACAAAACAATCCCTCCAGGCCTGAAATTCAAGGACACTTTATTGCTTCAGGCCCTGAAAAGTGTAAACAACTTAGGGTGGGAAGAAAGGAATGATGGGAGCAGTTATGCAGATTAAGTTATTCCTTAGAAGGTTATGTTATGAATACTGCTTTCTGATTGGTTAATCTTGTGTTCTATATAAGGTATTGTTTCTGTTTCTCTTTGTTCATTGGTTCCCTGTCCTTTATATTTGCCTTTGCCTAATTTTGTTGCGTTCTGGAGGAGCTCCCTACGGTGTGCAGCTTATGTTTTTGTTTTTATGTATTTATTTTTAGTGCATTTTTTCTTTTTTTAAAAGGAAAATATTTTCCTTTATTTTCACTTTAGTTTCCTTTATTATTTCCTTTGTTTTTTGGGCACTCCAGTCACACCCATCCCTTTTTTTTATTCATTGAAATGCTCCCAGCTGCCCTGGTCACAGGGTTGTGCTTGCCAGCGGACTTGGGATGCAGCAGAGCTGCCTGCCTGGGAAAAGACACGAGAAATGAGGAAAATCAAAAGTGTTCTGTCAGGGGTGAAACTGTGAGATGCGTGACAGCAAGAGCCTGAGATGAGAGATGCAGGACGTCAGGCGGCTCTTCAAAATGCAGTTGATTGTTTCCAAGATGTTACAGCAGCCCATGGCCTATTTAGAACACAGGGTAAGGGGCAATGCCACTGTGCTCTGGAGGATTTATTGGTGGGCTT